GTCCCTCACAGTCTTTCAGTCCCGCCTCAAAACACATCTTTTCAACTCTGTCTACCCATAAGCCCCCCCCCCTCTCAATCAACTTCCTCTTGACTGCCTTTTCTGTTTTGTTTTGTTTGCCTGTCCTTGTTTGTCTACCTTCCCTCATACTGTAAAGCGTCTTTGAGTTGTAGAAAAGCGCTATATAAATATAATGTATTATTATTATTATCACACTTTTCAAATGCGGTTAATCTCCTACCATCAGCATATTTTGGAGTTTTTTTTTACAAGTATATGTTAATTTGTATGTAGGGTTTTTTCCACAAAATATATATATTTTTGAAAGAGCGAATATAAGAAGAAAACGACCCTGTTTTAGGGTTAGTGAAGCGCTTCTTTAAAGTTACACTCTTCTGGACTGGAAAACAAACTCACCATCAATACTCTCCTGTAATGATAATCACTGATGTTCTCCATAATAACCAGTTTACTTTGTTGAACTTATCATACCAGTACCTCCATTTCTCAACTGCTAAACTTCTTCCTCCTTTAGCTTCTTTTTTGCTGGCAGCCCTTATATTGTATTTACCTATGCTGATAATAAAAAATCAACAACATTATTATCAAGTGGATTCATCATTCAGCACACCTGGGTGAGGGCAGATTTTAATGGAAGGAGACTGGAGTTGGCTTCTCTCAGAAAAATCAAACATTATAATGACAGGGTCCTGCATGAGGCGGGTGGTGCTGGGGGGGGCTGACCTGTGAGCAGGAACAGCACGGTGTAGCTCCGGCTGCCGGCGCCCTGCACCCTCTGCACTCTCAGGTGTGTGTAGCTGTGCTCAGCGGACACCACCGTCGCACTCCTCCCCACCGGCCGCACGCTGTCGTCGGCCAGGAAGTTCTCTTTGACGAAGCGCAGCGCGTTGTCCGAGGCGTTGTGCAGGCCACACTGACACAGGCAGGGAGAGAGAAATACAGATACACACTGGGTCAAATCTAATTATAATATGAAATGAATACCTTACATGCAGGTCAATTCAAGTGCTTAATCCAATCTAACACAACTTGGATCTTGTCATTGTGAAATGGTTTTTAAGGGATGCACGATTTGAAATAGAAAAACTAATTGAGATTATTTTTGATTTAACTCAGAAGATGGCATCGTAAGGGCTCCAACGACAAAAAGCAATAGGATTTTTCTGTTGGATTTGATCATTTTGAAGAAAATATGGCAAAATAAGGCAATCTGATGTTTATGGTACTTACACATTTTGTCCAGCAGGATCATCTCCACATATTAACACCGCTTCATGATTTTTGGATCCTTAATGTCATCTCCAGAATAAAAAGCCAATATAAGGCTGTACACAAACTACAGCACAGTCACATGGCTGCGCATCACATTACTTTGATTTGCACTCCTTATCATTTGACTCTTTCCAGCTCTGTATTGAACTGCAGCACAACTGTTTCAGTTCTAATGTTCCTCTGCATGAGCAAGGTTCTATCCTTGTTCCATATTCATATGATCAGAGTGTTTACCTCTCCTGGATTGGCAACCTTCTCTTGAACCCGTGTGCTCCACTGTAGCGTGTCCCTGTTCAGGACTTTGTAGTTCCCAGAGAATACTGATTTGATGTCAGCCAGGCGGAAGGAGCACACTGCTGAGCGTCCGGAGTTCACAGACCTAGGTAATGGAGGGAAAAACATGAAAGACTCAGTTAGATAACTGTGAGCGAAAGCACCGGTAAGCGAAACCTGACATACACTTTCTATCATCTTCAATGGTTCTTTCAACATGCCTGGTTTCTCTCTCTGTACACTGAGTTAGTTAGATGTAATACAACAGTTGGCGTTTCCTTACGTGTATAGCTCTGCCTCAAGCTTCGGAATACACATGTTGCTAAATACATGAATTTCCCAGTGTTTCTACAACATGTAAGATTCTGTACGATCCCATTTAAATGACACCTCGCAGTGCACAAAAGCACAAATCATTCGAGACTGTCTGTATTTATAATCAGGACTGTGGTGGAATAGTCTTTTATGCTGAAGAATGTTTCTAACTGAGTGAAGTTGGTGGAATTGTCTAAATGCTGAGGAAAGCTTCTTCCTTTCGTATCTATCAAAGATAATGCCATCCCATAATTCCGTGTAGAAGCTAAATCTAAAACTACCGTAGACATATTTAAATGCATGCTATGGATCACATTTGAAAAACTTCCTTCTCAGGAGGTGTGATTGTGATTAAGAAAGGAGTCTTTACTTTAAGTTTTCAGCACTAGCTAGCATTGTCAAAGCCACTGTCCCAGAGAGCCGCTGTGAATGTTATCAGGGCATTTGCTAGTGTAGCTATCTACTGCTGCTATCTGCTCCTACAGGGGTGACACTGCAAGAAACACTCGGTCTTCACCCCACCTAAAGAACCAGTGCAGAACATTTGTCATGGATCAGTTGTGCTTCATCCAATCCACTTTATTTGTATAGCACATAATAAAAACAGAGGGTTTACCAAAGTGCTTCACACCAAACATAACATTATAATAAAATATAATATTACAATAATAGATAAAAGGCACACATAAGAAAATATAAAAGGATAAAAGGCACACATAAGAATGAGTACACGGTACATAAAGGCTATGGACAGACAATAAATGCATCAAAATCGATAAAACATAGCTCAGACTGACTCGAAAGCCAGGGAAAAGAGGTGGGTCTTCAGGCGGGACCCATTAAGCAACTTAAAAACAAACAATAACATCTTAAAGGGCCCAGGTCATGCTTTTCCGGTTATCACCCGTCCCCTTGTGTGTTATGCAGGTTTTTATGCATGTGAACGGTCTACAGAGTCAAAACCCCTCAAAGTACACCCTGTAGTGAGTAAAACTCTAACACAGAGAAGACCTGTCTATGCTGCCTCAAAACGCCTCGTTGGACATTTCTCATTTTCCATTGTTTGCTTCCTGGGTTCTGTAACGTGTGAACACCTAAATCAACAACAAATGAGCGGATTGCCCCAAATGGACCAATCCGCGGAGCACCTCACACACCAGGGCCCTTTCTCATTTCATCAAATCCCCCTCCTCGACTCCTCGATCCTCCGGTAGTGCCCCGGAAATAAATTTCAGCGCGCCATGTTGAAGGACATCTAATTTCTCTAAATGCACACCGAGGATCGAGCGTCGAGGAGGCTCTCTGGAGGAGCTATAACCGAGGATACACTGATGGTTCCTCCACGACTCCTTCGTGGATGCATTTCCGGGAACAGAGATGTTTCAAAGAGTCGTGACGCAAGACCGGACTGATCTCAGCCAATCACAGCTCTGCATGCATCCCCTGGATATTATTTTAGTAACTGCTTTCATCGCGACGCAATGTTTACAGAGAGAACAGCTGTGAGGTCCGTGCAGAAAGCAGAGCAGTGTGTATAATATATATCTCTCAGTTTAACAGACCTACTCTCTTTATTTGCTTTAGTTTAGTAGATATCTACAAACAAAGAGTCTATATTTTTCTAAAACCATTTAGTGCTTCACATAATAAAATACACAACGGCTGTAGCCTGATTATGCTTTAGGAGCTGTAGGTGCGTGTGGTACAGTGTGTAGGTGTGTGTGTGGTACAGTGTGTAGGTGTGTGTGGTACAGTGTGTATGTGTGTGTGTAGTGTAGGTGTGGGTGGTACAGTGTGTAGGTGTGGGTGGTACAGTGTGTAGGTGTGTGTGGTACAGTGTGTAGGTGTGTGTGGTACAGTGTGTAGGTGTGTGTGGTACAGTGTGTAGGTGTGTGTGGTATATACAGTGTGTAGGTGTGTGTGGTACAGTGTGTAGGTGTGTGTGGTACAGTGTGTAGGTGTGTGTGGTACAGTGTGTAGGTGTGTGTGGTACAGTGTGTAGGTGTGTGTGGTACAGTGTGTAGGTGTGTGTGTGGTACAGTGTGTAGGTGTGTGTGGTACAGTGTGTAGGTGTGTGTGGTACATACAGTGTGTAGGTGTGTGTGGTACAGTGTGTAGGTGTGTGTGGTACAGTGTGTAGGTGTGTGTGGTACAGTGTGTAGGTGTGTGTGGTACAGTGTGTAGGTGTGTGTGTGGTACAGTGTGTAGGTGTGTGTAGTGTACAGTGTGTAGGTGTGTGT